CGCGGCGCTACGGCGCCTGCGCACCAGAGGTGGGGCGCGCGGCCGCTTACAGCTGCGCCTGCGCAGTCGGCCCTCCTGCCCGCCCCCTGCCTCGAATTCCTGGGCCCCCCAGCGCACCCTCCATTGACTGGACAGTTCCACTGGAAGGCCGCGTTGCCCGGGGCTACGGGCTGCCCTCCTCGGGTCGTCGTCTCCCCTTTTCTCCTCCTCCGGGGACTTGGTGCGCGCGCGGCGCAGCCCGGGCGCTGTTGCCCTCGCGGGCAGCGGCGGGCTCTTCCTCCACCCGCGGCCACCTGCCTCCCCGGGCCTGCTGGACGGCCAGGTGCCCCCTGCCCCCCCGCTCCGCGTCCAGCTCCCCGTCCCGCTCCCCAGGCCTGTTCCCCAGTGTCCTTCCTGCGCCCGAACGCCCCAGCCGCCCCGCTCAAGACCCCTGGGCCCCCACCAGTGCCACTCGGCTGCCCTTGAGGGCCCTCCCCGCCTTGTAGGACGCACATTTGGGCCACACGACTCTCACAGTTAGGCCCCTTGGGCCGGCCTCCAAGGCGCCCACTCTCGGAAAGATGTCCTGCTCCAGCCTGCTGCTCTGCCTGCCCAGCCCCCGTTCGGGCTTTGCTCTCTCCTTAGAAGGTCTTTGGGACTCATTGAAGAGCTGTCCAAGAACTTGCTGCTTCCCTTGGGGTTCTCCTGTGCACCCCCTCAGCTTCCCCTGCTTCCAGAAGTCCGCTTTCTGCCCAGGTTTCTTTCTTTTTGGTGCTTCCGACAAACAGCGTCCCAGCATTTGCCACCGTACGGTGCACCCAGACTTTGCTCACCTGTGCATCCTGTCTTCTGCTTCCTCTCCGTATCCTTCTCTTTGAGGCCCCCTCAAGCCCTCCCCCCCCAACCATCTCAGGGTTTCCCTCAAGCCCTCCCTTTCTCACATGGGTTTCAGATCCTGTCTCCCTCCTGGGAAGCCCTTCAGCCTCCCTGTTTTCACATCCTTCATTTTCTCCCCAGAGCGCTGTGTACAGGCGGCAGGGTGTGCTCTCCCGCAGCCTTTGACTGCACACGGAGTGGTCCTCACACCCTGCACCCCAGTGACTTTCTCAAACGCGTCCTGCTCGGCTCCTTTGCGTCCCCCTTCTCTTGCTCGCTGGTGACCTGCTTCTGCTCCTTTTCGAGTCTCACAGATTCTTTTCTCACCTGACAGCAAAGGCAGCCTGGCTCCCGAGGCCCACCTTCTACACCCCAAGGTCCAGATGGCGGCCAACGTGGGTGATCAGCGTAGCACAGATTGGTTAGTGGGGCTGAGGGCAGCGGCTGGTGGGGAGCTGGTGAGGGGAAGCAGGTCGGCCTGCCTGGGCCCCCACACGTGTGGTGGAAGTGGTGCACAGCCCTGAGGTGGGGATGAGGCCAGAGGGGCCCGAGGCGTGCGCTCAGGCTGCCGCGCTCAGGCTGCCGGCGGAGGCTTCATTTCACAGTACGGTGCTTATCTCACCAAGCCGTGATCCAGCCCGTGGGCGGGGTGGGGAGGTAGCCTGCAGCTCACTAGCCATTTTCTGTTCATCCGTACTGATTTCTGGAATCCTGTAGGGTAATGTCAGAATTCATGAATTCATAGAACAGTTGGACCTACTAGGCACCAGGTTGTTTTTCAAGTTCTGTGGATGTTTATGTGTTAACATGTGTACGCTGGGCACCTGCAGATACCTCAGGTAGGCCTGTCCCATAGCGCTCATGGACGCATGAAGTGGAACTAGGTTACCTGGGTCTTAGATGAGGAAATGGAGGTGCCAACGGCATCAGCGCTAGATCCGCCCCTGGCACGTACCTGCCCGGGTCCTGCTCACTGTGTGGGCAGAACAGGCTGACGTGGTGTCCCCTCCGCAGGTCCTCTCAGTACAGCATGGTGGCTGGGGCAGCCAGAGAGAATGGCTTGGAGACGCCCATGCACGAGAACCCGGAGTGGGAGAAGGCCCGCCAGGCCCTGGCCAGCATCAGCAAGGCGGGGGCCGCCGGCAGCTCGGCCAAGGCCAGCAGCAACGGGCCCGTGGCCAGCGCGCAAGTGAGACTGCCACCGGGGCGTCGGGTGCCACGGGACGGGGTGCTCTGAGGGCACCGGAGCCTTGGGGGGGGACCAAGCCGGCCCGTGTGCGCCTTGCCCCTTGACCCTAACGCGAGAGGTGCTCTCGCTCCTTCCTCTGCTCTCGGAGAGGTGTGGCCCCGCCCCTTCCCGCTCAGCTAACTGCCAGTAGGGGCCTGCGCCCGGGGTGGCGCCCGCCCAGCCCCCGCCTCTCTCCGCAGTACGTGTCCCAGGCAGAGGCGTCCGCTCTGCAGCAGCAGCAGTACTACCAGTGGTACCAGCAGTACAACTACGCCTACCCGTACAGCTACTACTACCCCGTGGTGAGTGCCCGCCAGCGGCTGCGGGGGCAGCTCGGGAGGGGACTGGGCCGACGGCCCACCGGCAACACGCCAGCCCTCCCGCGGCCGCCTCACCCTGCCACCTGGTCCGGCCGCCTCTGCCTCCCTGCATTTTGTCGCAGTCGCCGCAGAGCGCTGGCGCCCACTGCTCGCTGCAGCCCCGGGCCCCCGCTGGCCGTGGGCCTTGCTCTAGCGTGCAGCCTAGTCCTGGCCTCCCGCCCCGCCACTGCGCCCTCCCCTGGCTGCCCATCGCCCCGCGTTGCTCCGTGTTCCCTGCCGCCTGCTGCTCTGCAGGGACCCTGAGCGTGGGCTGCTTTAAAGAGGGCCTTTGTTCTGCTGCTTCCACTCGGGGTCCTGACAGAGTTAGACCTGGGCAAGCACGCGTACAGAAACACTTGGGAGAGCTAGGGCAAGTGACATGCGGAGTCCCGGGGTCCTTGTTTTCGTGGGTAACGTCTCTCACTGCCCACAAGTCCCATCTGTTCGGCAGCAGGGCCAAGCGGAGAGGGTGAGAGGGCGCGCCGTGGCTGGCGACCGCAGGGGCTCGGGCCGCGGCCGGGGCGGGGCGGCGCGCTGACCCGCGCCCTCCTGTGCCTTCGCAGAGCATGTATCAGAGCTATGGCTCCCCCTCCCAGTACGGGGTGGCCAGCGCCTACGGCTCCGCCACCCCCCAGCAGCAGTCCGCACCCCAGCACCAAGGGACTCTGAACCAGGTAACCGTGGTTACGCGCTCGGCTGCGAAAGGTCGTCCTTCGGGGGGCGCTTCGTGGACAGGGGTGCGGGTTGTCGAAGCCACTCACCTGCTGCCTCTTCTCCTGTCCTGCCGAGCGACGCAGAGCGCGAAGGGGGAGGAGCACAGTGTTTGTAGACAGGATGGGCTCAGGCCACAGGCTGAGGTGTTGGGGTGACGTTGGGGCCTCTGGCCTAAAGCAGTCTGGCCTGCCCTTCTGCACATGGCACGCCCGCACAAAGCCTTTGGGGCGTGCATCTCGGCCAGCTTTGTCAGGTGCGGGGATCCTCTCTCGGGTCTGCCCGGGAGGCTGGCCCAGCGTGACCGGCCTCGGCGGCACTCGGACAGCAGCAGCCCCTGTGGGCCTCGCGCACCTGGAAGCAGACCTAGTGTCTGCCTGGGGCCAGCGGGGCCGGAGAAAGCGCCACGTCTCTGACCTGAACTTGGCGGCTGTAAAAGGGATGATGGAGGCGTCCCTCTGCGCGTCTGAGGCTCAGCATGACGGGGTGTACGAGGCCGTGACGGGTTGGGTGCAGTGAGGAGGACAGTTGGCGGGCAGAGTGGCGCGCTCAGCCCGGCTTCCTTCTGCAGCCCCCTGTTCCTGGCATGGATGAAACGATGTCCTACCAGGCGGCCCCCCAGCAGCTGCCGGCAGCCCAGCCCCCACAGCCATCCAACCCTCCTCACGGGGCGCACACACTGAGCAGCGGCCCTCAGCCTGGGACAGCTCCTGCCACTCAGCACAGCCAGGCCGGGCCCGCCTCAGGCCAGGCCTACGGCCCCCACACATACACTGAGCCTGCCAAGCCCAAGAAGGGCCAGCAGTTGTGGAACCGCATGAAGCGTAAGTTGGCACTGGGCGGGGCGGGGGGGGCGGAGACCCTCCCAGAGCTGCTAGGTGGGGTTCATGGTGGTGCTGGTCCTTGACTTAGCTGCCCCATGGCCATGCCAAAGTGGTGGCTGCACATGGGTTCTTCTCTGTTTCTGGGGTGCTTAGCCCCCTAGCAGGCCTAGAAAGACCTGACCCCAGTCTCTGCCCTCACAGCAGCCCCTGGAACCGGTGGTCTCAAGTTCAACATTCAGAAACGGCCCTTTGCAGTCACCGGCCAGAACTTCAGCTCTACCCCGGAAGGCCAGCACAGCAGCTTCGGCCCCCAGCCCAACCCTGAGAAGGCCCAGAGCCACAGGTGACCAGCCCCTGAGCGGCGCCCCGCGTCTGTCAGCAGGCCCTGCTTGGCACGTTCCGCACCCTGGCTGCTGAGAACAGGGTTCCTCGCACTTGCCAAGGAGAGGGGAGAGACCGCCAGGCGCCCTGTCTGGCCTGTGGACTGCTCTGGGAGGCGGTGAGGGCTGTTGCTCCCCGCTGAGCGGCACATCTGCCCTCCCCAGGGGGAGCCTGTCTGGCAAGCCCGACGACTGGCCCCAGGACATGAAGGAGTACGTGGAGCGCTGCTTCACGGCCTGTGAGTCGGAGGAGGACAAGGACCGGACGGAGAAGCTGCTCAAGGAGGTGCTGCAGGCCCGGCTGCAGGACGGCTCAGCCTACACCATCGATTGGAGCCGGGAGCCTCTGCCAGGGTGAGCCTGGGAGGGAGCCGGGCTGGTGGGCATTGGTGCAGAGGTCGAGACTGCAGTCCTAGGTATCTGGGGCCCTGCAGATGATGAGCAGGGAAATGGGGTCTTGCAAGAGGGAGGTCAGGAGGTTGGAGCTGAGGCCCAGGAGTTGCTGGGATTGGAGTCAGCCCTGCGAGGGCAGGGGAGGCTGCAGGCGTTGCCCTCAGTGCTGAGGGCGCCCTCCAGACAGAACACCTGGGCGTTGCCCCATTTCTGCGCTGTCTAGGCTGAGTCGCCTGGGTAAGTGCCCTTTCTTCCTGAGGGAGTGCGTCCCGGGGGGGTGCTGGCAGACGTGGGGGCCGTGGGGCGCCGGGTTGGTGATGTCCTGCCCTACTATATCCTCAGGCTGACTCGGGAGCCTGTGGCTGAGAGCCCCAAGAAGAAGCGGTGGGAGGCCCCTAGCAGCCTTCACCCTCCCAGGGGGGCAGGCTCAGCGACAAGGGGCGGGGGTGCCCAGTCCCAGCGAGGGACTCCAGGGGCTGGGGGTGCTGGCCGAGCCCGGGGCAGCAGCTTCGCCAAGTTTGGCAACCGCAATGTCTTCATGAAGGACAACAGCTCCTCCTCCAGCACGGACTCCCGCTCCCGCTCCTCCTCGCGGTCCCCCACCCGCCACTTCCGCCGAAGGTGCGAGGGCTCCTGGGAGGGGGCGGGGGCTGCGGGCAGTTTCTGAGGCCTCACCTCCTGCTGCTTCTGCGCAGTGCCTCCCACTCGGACTCCGACAGCTCCTACTCGGGGAACGAGTGTCACCCTGTGGGTCGCAGGAACCCGCCCCCCAAGGGCCGGGGTGGTCGGGGGGCCCACATGGATCGGGGCCGAGGCCGGGCGCAGCGTGGGAAGAGGTGAGACTTGGGTGGTGACCAGGGTCTGGGGTCGGGCTCTCTGGAGGAGGAGGGCGGTGTTGCGGGAGCGTTGATACTGCCTGCCGGCGTGGCTGGGGGCGCATGCAACACCTGCCCCGCCACCCCTTGCCCCTCCGCAGGCACGATCTAGCTCCCACCAAGCGCAGCCGCAAGAAGATGGCGGCCCTGGAGTGTGAGGACCCAGAGCGTGAGCTGAAGAAGCAGAAGCGGGCAGCCCGCTTCCAGCACGGACATTCCCGCCGCCTGCGCCTCGAGCCCCTGGTGCTGCAGATGGGAAGCCTGGAGAGCAGCGGGGCCGACCCTGACTGGCAGGAGCTGCAGATCGTGGGCACCTGCCCCGACATCACCAAGCACTACTTGCGTCTCACCTGTGCCCCCGACCCGTCCACCGTGCGCCCCGTGTCAGTAAGTGCCGGGGCGGAGGCGGGGGTCTGGCGTCAAGGCGCGGCAGCGGCTCAGGCGGGACAGCAGAGAAGACACTGGGCTTGCGTGGGCCTGGCCAGAGGCTGCGGCCATGAGCGCTGAAGCGAGCTGGAGACAGACTAGCGGCCCGCGGCCCGCAGCCCGGAGCTAGCTCAGCCTCTGCGCCTCTGCTGCTAGGGCCTAGGGCGAGGAAGCTGCCTTCTGGCCGGGGCCCGAGAGACCTGAGGCCTGATGCGATGCCCTGCGTGGGGTGGGGCCCTGCGTGGTCTCCTTCCGGTGCCCAGGTCTGACGGGAGCGAGGCAGGCCTGGCGGAGATGGTGCTCGTGCTCTGGGTGTTTGTCGGTGGCAGCTTTGCAGTGGGTGTGATGGCGCAGCCCTCGTTTCAGATCACTGAGCTCGTAGCCGGGACAGGTGTTAGCATGTCCTCTCCCTGCCTGAGTGCCAGGGTCTGAGTCGGGCCCCTTCCCAGGTTTTGAAAAAGTCCCTGTGCATGGTCAAGTCACACTGGAAGGAGAAGCAGGACTACGCCTTCGCCTGCGAGCAGATGAAGTCCATCCGGCAGGACCTGACGGTGAGGCGCGGGGGCCGAGCGGCCCCGCGGGGGCCGGCGCGGGCGGGCGCCCCCTGCCTGGCCTGACCGCCCCCTCCCTGCCCAGGTGCAAGGCGTCCGCACTGAGTTCACAGTGGAGGTGTACGAGACCCACGCCCGCATCGCCTTGGAGAAGGTGAGCGAGCTGCCCGCACCCCTCGGGCCTCCCACCCCTCAGTCGCCTCATTCTCCTCCGCGCCCTCCAGGGTGACCACGAAGAGTTCAACCAGTGCCAGACGCAGCTCAAGTCGCTCTATGCTGAGAACGTCCCGGGCAACGTGGGTGAATTCACCGCCTACCGGATCCTCTACTACATCTTCACCAAGAACTCGGGAGGTGAGAGGCAGGGCCCCGGAGCGCTGCCTGCCGAGCCCGGGGCCCCTGCTGACCGCCTTTGCTTTGCGGCCAGACATCACCACGGAGCTGGCTTACCTGACGCGGGAGCTGAAGACAGACCCTTGTGTGGCCCACGCCCTGGCACTCAGGGCGGCCTGGGCGCTGGGCAACTACCACCGCTTCTTCCGGCTCTACTGTCAGGCGCCCTGTATGTCTGGCTACCTCGTGGACAAGTTCGCAGACCGGGAGCGCAAGGCCGCCCTCAAGGCCATGATCAAAACGTATGTGCAGTTGCGCTCCTCTGCCTTGCCTCCCGGCGCTGCCGGCC